TAAAGTTTGGTTTCTTTGACTGAATAAAACACAATACGGGTGACTGAACAGCCTATGTGTTTTGGTCTGCTACACAGTCCTGCCTGAACAACACATAACTTCCGGTCAGTCGCTTGAGGGCGGTTGTTGGCATCTCTTTGAGTTTTGCTCGTTTTTCTGAAATCTACTCTGCAGTTTCCAATGGCCAGCTCTTATTTCTGGGTGCATGCCTTGACCAATTTCCTTTTTCATTCACATTTGTAGTTAATATGCTAAATACTATCCCAATATTTAAATATAGTTTAACTATGCTTTTCATTGTTTGGCAAAATCACTAAAACATGACAGGGACTATGTATTGACAATGACTTGTTTCAATGTAACCATCATTTTGACGAAAATATCATCTATTTTGTATGTAATATATATGGACGATAATGTCTCCATATACGACCACATGGGATAACTAAACGATACATAACTTGATGGACGATTTTAGTGATAGTTATATTAAAGCGGGAGAGTCGTCAGCTGCGCACGCGTGGGAATTGAGTCCATAGCGACGATAACAGTGCACGCTAAAATGCAAAGGCTCATGGGTAGTTGTAAATTCCCTCGCTTTAAAAGTTTTGGAAAAATAATAGTATAACTTAAAAAAACGTTGGAATGGGACAATGACGACGACCAGCCGCGACGGGCGTTGTAATTGAACTGTGAAGGGCGTGTAGAAGTTCAACAATATAACCATAATTTTTTTTAAACAAAAACTAACGCCTTGCTTGAAAATGCCCTCTACAGTTCAATTTTCTATCCCACACTCCTTTGCAAAATCCTATACGGAGTTAACCCATTTCTTTGGCGTGAACTCTTCATATGTACCAATGTTAAAATGATCACGACATATTTATATTTTCTTCCTATATTCGTATGAAAAAAACACCCACCAAAACGTACACCTTTGAAAAAAATCTACCATTTTAGCTCCTCAATCCTACAATACGTGAATGTTTTTAAACCCGAAATATTCTGATTCAGTAATTGGTACGCTGTTATTAATACTAAAATATGGTCAACCGAAACATTGCCAATGTGTTAATGTGAACGCAAGATAGTCAGATCCGTATCATTTTAATGACCAGACTAGCGAGAACACGGTGAACTGTTTATCAATTGAATGTTGATTCAAGATAAAGGTCAAAATATTTATCTACACATTGTGTAAGACACATCCGTTGTAACCTCAGGCTGGGTTTTTAGTTTTTCAAATAAAAATCTGTTTCAGTAGTTTTCAGGAACGCCCAGTCTCTTGATGGTGGTACACGATTCTACCCACTAAGCTAATTTTGGCAAAGAACATATATATAATATAACAGTTTTTAATTGTCACACTGTGGCATAAGCGACAGGGAGTTGAAATAAGTGTTTTTTTTAATAAAAATATTTGTCTTTTTTTTACTTTCATCATTCATCATACGTAGCTCCATGCTCTTATGTAACTATCTTATCTACCTACACCTCTATACTTTATGCAAATTTTAACCATTGATTAAACCTCAGACTAGTAATACAATTACTAGTCTGAGATTAAACCATGCAACTACACGCCCTTTGAGTTCTGTAGTTCCATGATTGAACATTATAGTGTATGGCCGCAATTATTATTTCGATATATATTATATCTGGTTGTCTGAGGTATCATAAGGGAAATAGCCCACATAAATTGGCCATGGCGAAACAAATAACAGGTCAATGCCCCAGATCGCTACGTCATGTGACGACATGAGTTTTGCGTAAACATACTTGTTGATCACATGCTTCCTGTGTGCGAGTAAATAAAAAAAATATTTAAAAAAAAAAAAAAACTTTTCGCATTTTTGCATATATTACTCATCACCCGAATCGCACGGTATTCCTGATACATGCATCAACGACCGTTCATGTGAACCTTGGCTGGCGTAGATGAATATTACTTGACCACAAGTTCATGATCAGACCATGGATGTACTAGTACATCCATGATCAGACCAATCTCAGTCGACGTTTGATCATGTACTTTGGTGTGTAATATTCAATCCCTAATTACAGCGGTGTTTATTGGTCCATGCATGGAGGTAAAAATAGATTCACCTCCATGGTCCATGGTACAGCCATTGTTTACAACTATCTAGTAAACCTTATTGTTTTTCCAGTATTGTGGTATAATTAAAACTAATAACTCACCCGTTGCCGTGGCAATGCAGATACTAAAGCCAGCATAACACACACTACCAAAATAAGCTTGTATGTTTCCATGGCAATGTGTTCAAATCTGGCACAAATTTTAGGAGAACAAGATGTGAGCTTCAACCCCTACACTTTGATAAAATTTATCTTATCGTTAAATATTGTGATTTACTTAATCCAACTATTCCATTTTAAGATAGGGGTGGTAACCACAGACGTTTTGAAGAAGTCAGATTATTCTAGTATATATTTTGTTTCAGTTTGACATTCAAAACAATATTGTGGTTACATATTATATCTATTATGCAAGAACTTAACAATTATGCGATTGTAAAATCTATATGTCTGAATACCTGTACAGAATGGTCTGTTCCATGACGTCATCGGATACAAACCTCTGTTCGGTATATTGGCTGTGGGCGCTGTGCATGTGGAGGCGGTAATATAAAAAAAAATAAGTCGCGTTCTTAGAAACACGACGTTTCTTTCACGAAGCGTTGTGGGCTGAAATGTTCTTGCTGTACGGAAATGTCACTATTCAAAATGTTCACGCGAACTGTGTACATAAATACAGCAAGTATTCTTACGTAACAGGATTGACAAGAGTTTATTCTCAAGCGACTTCTCCTTTATTTCTCCTGCCCTTGAATATATTTAGCTTTGAGTATACAAACAGAGTTTTCATATTCATAGATGTAAGCCGAGAAAGTTGTTTTATCTCTTTATACTAAAATATGCGCTGATTAGTCACGTGACGGTCGTATTTGTTTAGAGGCATAGCCATTTTAGACGTATCCACGGTTCCTATATGCATGGAACTATATGCTCTATCAGAGGGACTGTCATATATATGTGTAGAAGTGCAAGTTTGAAAGGAAACATACCCGAGTAAATCGTAATTGTTTTACAAAGCATTTATGCCAGCGTTGATCACGGAACTAACTACCGAGATACAGATAAAGTAAACTTTGTGTTTGATTGGACAAATTTACATTTAATCACAGTTCCTCTATAATGAATAGAATAGAGTAGAATAATGTTTTATTAATACCGTAAAGAAAGAGTTAACATTTCTTTTTAGGTTTTCAGATTAATAAAGTAAATAATAAAAGTACATGAAATGTAAAAATTGATTTAAAAAAGAACTCAAAATTGATGAACGACAAAAATACTACAAACTATTATTAATAATAATATAAGAAATATTATAATACTGTGATATGTAAGTATATATGTATGCAGAACAGAATATGTATAAAATATAAAAGAACATGACAAAATAAAAGAATTAGTCTTGTTTAGATTTAACTAAATATTTGCAGAGAGTGATAAGATGGTTTGTATTTGGTGACTGTAGTATAAGTTTAAATTGTTTTTTTTGTTTGTTTAAGTTTTGGTAATCACTGTTAATTTCTTTAAGGATATTATATATGTCATCTCTGTGTTCTGTGTACAGTTTACATTCTAGTAAATGATGTAATTCATCTTCTATCTCTTTACAGTGGGTGCATAATCTGTCTTTTATCAGTGTTTTTGGTTTTGTGTACCTTTCTGTTTCTATAGCTAGTTTGTGACTACTTGTTCTAAATTGTGCTAGTATTTTGATGTAATGTCTGTTATCTATGTGTTTTATGTAATGTTCCATGTCTAGTGTGGTTTTGTATGTGCTGTAAGTGCGCAGTTTTGCATCATCTCTTTTATTGTCATTGTTCCATGTGTTAGTGTAATATTCTCTGATTGACATTATCAGTTCTTGTATGGTTATATTTATCTA